GTTTTGTGTATTAGCTGCCTCAGTGGCTCTCCTCCTCGGATGCCCCAGTAGAAAGGAGCAAAATGATGCATCTTCTTGCCAAGTTTCCTTTAGTGAATTGAGGAATTAGAAGTCTAACCTTGAGTAATTACATATGTTTTATCCGTTTTCTTTTAACGTTAAGTACAGTTTGTGGAAGTGTTGGCTGGAAGTCGTTCTCATTTGGGGAGAAGGCTGTAAAATTTAAGTGTGTGATTGAGGCACATCCCGATCTGTACAGAAATATGCACTGCCTGTCCCTGTTCCCCCCATGAAAGTTGTCGGGCAGTTGCATTGTTAAGCGGCTTGGTGGCCGGGAGACTTGAATTTTCCAGCGTATTAAGACATCAGGCTTCTCCTTTGGAAGAGAGAGGGCTACAAAGTACAGACCTGTGCTACAATGCTTTGGGTTTCTTCTTTAAATATGTGCCTAGCACCTATGCGTCTTGGGCCTGGGCTTGGCTGACTTATTTACCTTTGAGCTCGAGGAAGTCTTCCTGTGGCCTCGTCCAGCTTCTGTTCTCAGCTGCTCGGTCTGTGTCCTCCCCTAGTCACGAAAGTCAATCATGGTCTCTGGGCTCCTGGGTGCCTCCCTCAAGGTACACAAGTGCCCTGGTTGTGAAAACAAGGTGCTAACTAACGGTTTCCGATTTTTGAGAGCCTGTGATTTTGGTATTTGCCTTTGCTGTTGAATAGCCTGTGCTGTATTATTGATGCTCATCTTTGGTCTATGAGTTTATCACTGGTTAACAAGCAGAATCAGAACACTGAAACTGATATTCTGATTAAAAGGAATGTTTAATGAAAGAAAATAAATTGTGATGGAAAATGAACAGTGTGTAAGAAACGTAACTACAATTTTAACCTCCGAGGGACCCTAGCACTGCCCTACCGTGACTTCCATCCATACCATGCTAAAAGCATGCTTCAGTTCAAAGTTGTTAATATTCAGCTGGGAAACAGTATCCAGAACACAAATAAATTATTAAGTGCATGAACTTTTTAGGCAGTAAGATGAACTGATGGGGTCCATCTGTGAGATCCAGGGGCTTTTTATTTGTGTGTGTCGAGCGATTCTGCCCTCTCCGACTTCACAGCCTTTGGTCTCCGGCCAACTGCATGCATAATTGATTCCACACGCACTATCATTTTCTTGATGTAATTGCTTTACTAAGATATGATGAAATCTAATGGATAATTTGCTATTTGAAAATGGGCAAAAAAATGTTCATACTTTTTATTGGGGGGAGGGCAAGAGAGAAGGGGGAATTCGGATGACCTGGTATTTAAGAATACAAAACAAAACGAAACCGGCAAAACGAACTTATGCACTCTGCTTCAATCACGTTGGTTTGGGTAGGAAGGTCTTTGTGACATATGGAAGCCAGTGTGTAAATCTCTTTCTATCTCATATCACCCTCCTTCATTCCTTCTTTCTCTGTCTCTCCCCCAAACTTTACAAGCAAGGGATCCTAACAAGGTAAAAAGTAAACAATTTAGTCATCACCAGCCTTATTATTCAGTCTATCCAGGAGTTTTGCCATGTCGGTTTATTTAACTTCCAGGAATGTAAACACTGACACAGCCCTAGAAGCAGCAAGAAAGATTACAGTATTAGAGTTAAAAACCGTGAGCATGGAGGAGCTGTGCTTTATACTCAGCTATAATAACACTTTACATTGAAACATAGTGTTAAGTCAAAACCGACTGGAAACTTGTGCTTATATGGAGTACAAATTTCATTCTAATAGATTGGCATAATCTCATGTACCCAGAGTAGATTGTTATATAATGGAGAAACTGTATAAATGTCAAGTACACAAATAATTCTACAGGAAGTAAATGAGAAGTATTAGAATTTCTTAAATCACCATTAAATTTTGTTGGTGGGACAGTCTCATTGGGTGCCTCAAAATCATGTGTGGCTTTGCATAAGTCTTTTAAAAATGTATTTTGAGGGGATTTACGGACATTGAAACATTGTTTTAATCCAAACCAGTTCATGCTTTAAATGTACCTTAAAAAAATTGTACTGTTTTTTTTTTAAAGTACTTAAAGGGAGTGGAAGGGTAGTAAGCATATAAAGTGAATCCATCTCACTGTGGCAAACTGTTTTTCAAGTAAAGTCATAATAATGAACAACACATGATCTGAAATTTGATCAGCAAACATGTACTTATGCCAAGGAATTTTCTTTTTCTTTCTTTCTTTCTTTCTTTCTTTCTTTCTTTCTTTCTTTCTTTCTTTCTTTCTTTCTTT